GGAGTCCATCGGTTACTCCCAGTCATCGCAGAGGTAGCTCTCCACCTGGAGTCGCGACTTAGGGAATTTTCCGGCACCAATCAAGTCATCCGACTGGACCATGCTTTCTCAGCCTACGCTGGCGACGTCGTCGGGCGAATGTGTCTCGACACCAAAGACCGCCGCGACCGTTTCTTGAGCGAGACGAATTTTTCGCCGGATTGGTATGGTGCTCTTACATAACAAGCTACCTAGACTGCTGCTAAATGAAAGCTCAGGTTTAATGCTATGCTCATGATCATACGTTCTATACCGGTGGCCACGGCATTCCCATTACTTGTCTGGTAAGTTAATGTCTACCGTCATCAAGCGTAGGTAGGTAGCTCACGCTTCAGTAGGATGATGAGTTACCTGCCCGAAGACGTGTTCGTATGGCTTTACCCCCGTGGCCAGGGAATTCGAAAATTAAGACATGTTAGTAAAATTCCAGTAATACTTGAATTTGAAAACTGATCCATGGGCAGAAAGCAAGAGAGAACATTCGTAAGGTTCTCACGACTGACTCGATAAAAGACGAGAATGTTTCATCGTTATTTCACCACGTAGTCAACAGCGATATGCCGGAATCAGAGAAAACCGAGAGCCGTCTTGTGATGGAAGCGCAGTTGATCCTTGCCGGGGGGACCTGGACTAGCGGTCGTACTATCGGAGTCGCGTCTTTTTACATCTTATCTCGGCCCCATCTAAGACAGGGCGTCGAAGCAGAGCTCCGAGATCTCATGGACAGGTGGCCAGAATATGTCCCGACGTGGGCAGAGCTTGAAAAGCTTGTTTTGCTGCAGGCTATCATTAAGGAATCGCTTCGGTAAGATTTCGATCATCCCCACCCGGCTGATAAGTGGTGCTGAGATCTGGCATTCAGTATCAGTTATGGAGTAATGCATCGACTCCCCAGGATCTCGCCCGATGTCCCCATTCAGTATAAAGACTATACTATTCCAACAGGGGTAAGTACCAGTACCCCTGAAAATCGTTTCGGAAGTTGCCCACACTTAACCGTTTTCTAGGTGCCGGTAGGGATGTCGTCATATCTCATGCATACGGATCCTGCCGTGTACGAGTCGCCGTTCGAATTTATCCCTGAACGGTGGCTAGGAGAGGTTAACCCGGCAATGAATAGAAACTACGTGCCGTTTGCCCGGGGTTCTAGGAACTGTCTCGGACTACAGTAAGGTCCCTTTAGACTTTTCCACCTATACTACTTCCGGCATATTGACACTTTTGATTTCCCTGTTCCAGTCTAGCGATGGCCGAAGTAACATATGCCTTGGCGGTACTTTTTCGCCCAAACGGCCCTAAGTTAGAGCTCTTCGAGACAGACGAGAGCGACGTGCGACAGGTTCACGACTTCATGGTTGCAACGGCGAAACTAGATACGAAAGGTATACGAGCATTCGTTCGCTAAAAATACCGAGATCAAGCGCGCGTCAAGATAGCATGCCAAGAAAAGGGGGCCAAATCATGGGAATGAGTTTATTCGGACGAGGTCTCGTCGGATGCGGTATGGAAGCATTCGATATCAGACGTTCGTGGAATTGCGCATATTAAATTGCAACATACTATCCCAAAGTCTGCGGGACAGTAGCATTCAATAAGATTGAACATCACCTCTATCGCGTGGGATAGGGTGGCATCGCTGCGAGCGTCGGTTTGGTACCGATAAGAAGGATTCTGGAACGACTGATGAACGAATTAAACGAATCTCATGATTTTTATATTATATTGCATTAAACGAGTGAATATTTGCTTTCAGCTGGGCAATTCTATTGTGGAGATCTCTATGTGGGATGCTGTGGGGTCGTGAGATTCTTGGTGGATAGGGGGCCATATTAAGACCCAGGTTGGGGGCGGGGTTTTCTGTTTCGCCCTATTCCTTAGCTCTATAGTTTAAATACGACTATAGCATCTTCACCAAGAATTTCTTCAACGGCCTCCAAGACCTTGTTATCGGGTACATGCATACGACCATCTCAGTAAGACTTCAACACGTGGCTTATTATGGTATAGCGCGTCTAGAAGAGCCAGAGAACATCGATTTCAAACGGTTTTACGCCCCTTTCCAGTGCATATTTCCGTGGTATTAAAGCGAATCCTTCGCCTCGGCTTACGTTAGAGTAAACATGCATTGCAACCACATGCCATTTCTAGTCCAGAGGATCGTAGGGGTCGAAAGGGTCGTAAGCCTGCGTTGCAACCCCATAGTCGTGATGGTGGGGTGGAGATCCCATAATGCCCAAATCAGTAACACTTCCAGTTCTGATCAAGTGAGTTGCCGCCAACGTACTGATTAGTCGCTGGCCGTTCTCGTAATATTTGGCACACGCTAGCCCGTCGTCAACTCCAAGAATCCTGTCTTCTGTTGTCTTGTTTGCATCGTAAATTTTCAAGAACCAGAACAATCATGTCGTCGCAATGGTCCCAAGGCGTCGTGCCGCCCCCGGAGGGCGTCGAGGTCAACTTCGTCAACCCCGAAAACCAAATGGCTGGGAATATCGCGATTCACACAGTCTTCCTCAGTCTAAGCACCTTAGCGGTTATCATGCGGATATACACGCGTCTATTCGTCTCTCGAGTCAGTCTTGGCGTGGATGATTGTGAGTTTATTCCTTAGGTTAATAGCGCTGTTTAGCTCAAAGACAACGGTGGCTGACGCTTGCAAATTATAGATCTGTGTCTTTTAGCATACGCAAGTCGCCGTCGAGTTCCTATCCCTGAGTTTTAAACTAACCATCATACTAGGCTGCTACAGCGACATACTCAGGCCTGTTACTTACATGTATGTTGATAGAATGGCTCTGTACCCCTTTATCGCTGCTTGAATGTTTTACTAATTCGAATAAAAGGCTTCCATTGGGGAATTGGTCGTCACATATGGGACGAGCCCGCGATCTGGCTTATTCCAGCTTTGAAGGTTAGCTCTTTCGGGATATTGGTCGCATAACCGGATGATAGGGGATACTAACAAAGCTCTACCTAGTATCAAACCATCGCAGCACAGATATACTTCGTGGCAACCACCGTGATCAAACTCAGTCTCCTTTTCTTATATCGCCGAATATTCAACCTACAGAAGTCGGCGAAGTGGTTCGTTAACGGCGGAATTGTCATGGTTACGCTTATGGGTGTGGCTATCCTGCTCGCTATTATCTTCTTCTGCTTCCCGGTTGAAAAGGCGTGGGATGATTCAATCCCTGGTCACTGCTCGTCTCCAGCACCAGTGAGCTATCTTTCTGGCGCATGGAATGCTTTCGTGGATATCTATGTCCTTATCCTTCCGATTCCTCTTCTCTGGGGGTTGAACATGGGCCCAAGGCAAAAGATAAGACTGAGTGCCGTTTTTGGAATTGGTATCTTGTAAGTCATGCCCAGCATTTCTTGCGAACTACTACCCGTGCTGATACCCCTATTTCTAGCGGTTGCGCAGCTAGTCTTGTGCGCCTGGGAATGACCCCTCTATTACAGAGCGACTTGGATTCCACTTACAATATCGCCAAGGTTTCGGTGTGGGCGTAAGTTCCCCTGAAATTTTTCAAGTCGCACCAGAGATCTAATAATCATCCAGCACATTGGAAATAAACGTCGGCCTAATCTGCTCCTGTCTCATGTTGCTACCAGCATTCCTCAGGCACCACCTACCAGACTCTGTCAAATCATATTTCCGATCCATTTCGTTCTCGAAGCCATCTCGATCTGGGAAAAGCTCTAGCGACCCATCACAAAAATGGGGAGGAGTTTACCAGCATAAAGTAAGCTCGGATTCTCAGAATCTGGTTACCTTTGGGGAAGAGAACAAGATATTAAGGACGAATACCTTCACGATGGAGACAGTCCGAGCACCACCGGATCTAGAGCGTGGTAACCCTAACATAACCCGATTTTAGTGTAGTTCCGCAACAAACACAGGACCCGCGGATCCGTCTAGAAGCTTGCCTCCTCATGAACAGTAGCACTAAGTGCTTACGGTACCAATCCGAATATCCTCTCCCGCCTCGGGACACGATGACCTAAGCGGAGCGGAGTGTAACTACCGTCTTACACTCTGTCAGCATGGAGTACACCATCGCGTCCCCGCTAACCGAAAACTACCCATTCGACACCAATTATAAGGCTAGCTTACATTCAATATCTTACTGCCGGATGCCGGTTCCGGCCAATTCACGAAGATCTATGGGATATATGAGTAAAATTCAATTTATGATGCGGGCTTGGGCTGACATGAATGGATGGGCATTCTGCGATAGTGTCCAAGGTCCTACTTACGATTGTATTATATATAACATTCAATGCAACGAGTATATAAGTTAACCGCCTTCTCCGTGTATCGCTCCCAATCTATGACATCTACGCTTCGGCTTACGTCGATGGTTCAGGGGGCATACATAGCCCTAACGGAGACACGTCATGATAAAATGTATTCTCGAGGTATTGATCTTCTTCCTTTTATCTTATTTCGTATACTATCATGCGAAACGTGATGTCTCGTTGTGTTAGGTTATTGATATCTGTCTTTCGTTGATGGAGTAATATGCGTCGTTTGTGAAGTGTCCTGCGGAATAATGATCGCACATCCTTTTCCCCGATATCGCAGGATATGAATATTATGGTAGTGAATCTATTTGAATGAGATTCGAACTCAAGCATCATCTTTCATGTGCGGATTGCATGAATAATGATAGTATGGGCAAAGAAGACTGCGTATTTTGATGTAAAAATGTTGTATTATGTACCTAGTAGAGGATTGCGGATTAATGAGCGCGTTGCGGAATTATCGTTGTGCAAACTTTTAGGGTTATTAATAAATTATCTAATCACCTGGCTGTGGCAGTCACCTGCGAATTTCTTCATGGGAGCAATCCCGCTTGACGAGTACTATTAAAGATAAACGATTAAAAGATGAATGAGAAGAAAAAGAAAAGAGACGTCGAATTCATGGCGAGATAGACGACGTCGAAAAAGAAACGCATCCCCCGCCGGGCTCGAACCGGCAACCTTTAGATTAGAAGTCTAACGCGCTACCATTGCGCCAGGAGGACCAAGAACCATCTTCGTCTTTCGGGTTGATTTTAGGCCGGATAAGTTGTCCTATATCGTCTAGGACTTAGGCCGTGCGCGTGGATTTGCCAGAGAATGTACTCCACTCAAAAGTGGGGTGCATATGTCTCTCGGATGTATCCTCCACGCCATATATATATATGGTAGGGTGCACAGGTGCGAAGACATTAAAAGAATCAATATGTTTGGAAGGAGTAGCTTTTCTAGAAAAGTTAGATGTTAGGGAAAGATGGGAATGCTATTCAAAGAGGCAAGTACAAGAAAGATGGGCTCCTAAACTTAGAGAGAGGTTGCCAGATCCATAGAAAATACCCCCACGTAGTACTTGCTTTTCCAACTGAGTTCATTCTCCGGTTCCTTCGGTACGTAGATATTTGAACAACTTCTCAATTCTCACAAAATCGAACTTGTGGATAGGATCAGAGGGGATTTTATTACTTCTACATAATGTACATACACCTCTTCTCGATTACAATTCTCACAATTGAATCAAATAACTTTTCCTGTAGTCTTCGCAATGACGGCGCGGATTCCTCGATAAATTAGGCATGATGGAGAAGTCGTCACCATTAAAACCAATGTGGTCTCATGGTAAGAACCCACAAATGACCCAGGCAAAAGGGCATCAACTCCGCAAGCCACGCACATAGTCCATTTACCGAAAACCCCAAAGCATCGCTATTATCTCCAAACAAGAGTTGCGACATGAGTACAGTTACCAATGTTGCGTCTCTTGCGAAAATCGTCCAGTAGACAACGCGTCTGCTTTGCACTGCCTTTGGCGTTCTAGCAGATGCGAGGAGCATGGAGATACCCAACGTAAAGGTCTGCGTCCCTAACAGCCGGGTCAGGAGCAGGGCTGACGGCGGGATAGGAGCGGCCACCGCCACCGTTAAGGGCGTTTGAGGAGATATTATGAATACCAACCCCCCCGCGAGTTTCATGACGCCCTCAACTAGGAATAAAGACCTCAACGGCGACGGCGATGGTGATCTGGCAGACATGTTGTGATTCAAGTGAGCGTAAATATCGTGCGACTTTTGGCATTCCAATCAATTGACATACAATATAATAATGATAGGTACTGCTAGGAATGAGTCTTTAGGTCTAGCATCGTACGAGTCATCGTCTAGCGCATTACGATTGAATCTCATCTGACTAAGACGGGCATTCTCAATTGGTCGGCGTTGCCCTGCCTTGTAGGGCTAACTATTAACCCCTATGAGCTTACGCCAAGACATCTCACGATCTTAGCTCCTTACCATTAGCCGCACAACTAATTATTATCCTAGAACATCTTCATGGTGAAATCGGCTTCACCAGTGAAGAAGTATCATGGTCGCACTATTTCATGAGAGTGAATTATCTCGTGCAAACAGCCTGCAGTGGCGTCGACGCTTCGGCGCCAAACCTGGTAGCCGGTGAACCACGATAGCGTCTTCCCGCCAAATGATACTATTACAGGTCTCCATGCATGCAGCGTCTCAAACTTCGAAACAGGGCTTCTGACTAAGCGGTGAATCCGGTCGTCGGCATATGTGTATTAATATTTAAGGCTTTGCGCTAAAGAATCAGCTGGAGGTGCTGATCGACAACACTCTAGGCTGTCCTCCCCAGTTAATTGGTGAAGTGAAGGCCGCCTGTATGGAGAGCTGAAAGCTGCCAAGACCTCCCAACCACTGAAATAGATGAGAGTCAAGGGGATAGCCTATGGAACCCATGACCGGCCTGGACTCTAATGCAACAATACATCGGGGGCGTCGCTCCGCCACGAATTTACAAAAAGGATATCAAGCATGCATGCCCCATCTTACCATTCATGATGGAGTTGGGTTTATATTCTCTCGCCGAGACCCCGGAAGCCCCCAAAGGGCATACCATTACATTCGTTCGAAAATGGTTTGAGAGGGATTGGGGAGTTATTGAGCAAAGACAACACCATGTCGCATATCAGAACAGCACCACGTGCGGGAAGAGCAGGGTTTGACGCTGTTCCTCAGTCTCATTATCGAAACGGAAATTCAGGAGATTATGATGGGCTGGATGAATACGACAACCGTAGAACCCAAGGTTCTGACCGCCAATATACCGGAGAGCACTATGCGGCCCCCATTGGATTGTCTACCGAGGACGAGAGCCCTCCTGAGTACCATAGTAACCGCTCACGATCCAGTTCAAGGATGGACTATAGCCAAATGTCAGTGTCAACCGCCTATAAACCCGACATGGTCATCTACAACGAGATTCCAATCGATGCCCCACTAGTCATGAATGGAGAACGCCCAAATTACAAGCCATCAGCGTTAAGATGGCCTTTCTTGACAACTTTACTATTCGTCATCCTGGCGCTCGTGGGACTGCTTGCGTGGGCTCTACACGTCTTACCCGTTTTCGATAATGACCTCGACATTATGGGTGCTCTCGATGCAAGAGATATTCGCGCACCAATCTTGCGCACAGCCACCTTGGTTGACTTGGACAATGCTTCACATTTCACCACTGACTCTATAGTTGGCCGTGCCGTGACTACTGAACTTACTCAACCGACTTCTCAGCCTACCTCGCAGCCGGTGGAAACTTTGTCACCGGATGAGGACGATTTTGGAAATATTGGCACCCAGACCGTCACCAACCCGGGTCCATCAACTACGCCAGCAGCGCATACGACTAAGCCTGCCGACGGAGGCACGCCTGTATCTACTACTGAGCCAGCATGGTCTAAGCCGGAGGGTGACTTCGGCAACGTTGGTGGGACCGTAACCGTTTCGGAAAGTGCGACATCAAGACCAAAGCCGACAATAGCGTCTTCGAAGGGAAGTGAAGACTACGGCAATGTTGGTGGGACTGTAACCGTCTCGGAAAGTACGGTATCAAGACCAAAACCGACAATAGCATCTTCGAAGGGAAGTGAAGACTACGGTAATGTTGGATCGAAGACTGTATCGGATGACATCACGGCAACTGTACCCTCCTCGGATCATGGTAACGTGGGGACTATTACGGTTTCAGAAACGACGACATCCCAAACACCCCAAACACCTACCTTCGTAACACCCGCCATAGCTATTACGACAGACTCGCAAGGCATAACTATAACCTCAACAAGTATCCCGCCACCGGTCTCAACACCTCAAACAGTCACTCTCACAAATTCCGAAGGGCAACCCACAGCCACGCAAGAAACCCAAGTTCTTGTAACCCCCTCCATCAGCGTCCAGACCGACTCTCACGGCGCCCCCACCGCCACAGCAACATTCTACCCCTCCCTCCCCTCGAACAAGGATACCGACGGCAACAGCAAGAACAATAGCAACATCAAGGTCTACACCATTAGCTACGGCTCCTACTTCATCGGCATGTTCCTCCCAACCCTCATCTCCATCCTCCTCGCCATCCCAATCCGCATCCTCGACGTCAATGCCAAGATCTTGCAGCCCTGGCACGAGCTGACGCACTCCCGCGGCGGTGCTCCTGGCCGTGAGTCCCTCTGTCTTGAAACTTCTGGCTGGCAATCCGTAATTTCTAGCATGCGCTCCTTGGCCGGTGGTCAAGCCCTCGTCTTCTTGACTTCGATATTGGTGCTTATTTCGGCGTTGCTTATTCCGTTGTCGGCGGAAGCCGTGGCGTTTGATTTGAAGGGGGCCGGGTGCGTGGAGGGGAGCGGGTCGGCGAAGAATTGCGCGTACGTGCTTGCTGTGTTTGACCAGGCTGCTAAGGCTACCGTGGTGTTGCTAGGCATTATGGGCGTGGCTACGCTAGCTATTATTGCACTGCTGGTGCGCTGGAGGTCGGGCGTTAGCACGAATCCTTGGAGTATATGCGGGACGGCGTCTTTAGCTCTAAATCCGGATGTCAGACGCTTGTTCACGAGTTTGCCTGCCGGTAGTGATATGGGAAGGATGCCGAAGGGGCTGTTGGAGAGCGTGTTAGAGGACCGCTGGTTTAAGCTGGATTATTTCCAGGGCGTGAATGGCACGATTGAGTATGGTGTTATGTTGCGCGAGGATACGGGACGTGTGCCGGGGCAGATTGGTGGGGAGGAGAAGGAACCTCAGGACCACCATGCCGCGCCTACGGAAGCGAAACATCATTTACCATTCTTGATGCTGGGGTACGCGGGACGATTGGTGTTTTTGTTTGTTTTGTGCGGGTTACTGGCTCTGATACTGTATTACAACAACACCGGTGGCGATACGGCGTTTGAGAGGTTCATGGATAGCGAATCATTTGGGGTGCGGTTCTTGTTTACGGGCGTTGGTGTGGTTATTAGCTTTTTCTGGGCGTCGTTCTTTAGTAGTAAGTATCTCCTATTTTTCCATGTCCTCCTATCTAAAAAGCTATATTTTCGAATTCAAGCGTCTAACAAACTATAGGCATTGCAATTTTGAGTCCCTACCAACTCCTCGCTAGCTCGCCCCAACAAGCACGACGCTCGATCCTGCTTGCGCCACCCACCAACGCATTTTCAGGTCTTTGGTCGGCAATTCGTCGACGACATAGCTTCCTTGCCGTGGTAGCAGTAACATCGATCCTGTCAGAATTCTTGACCATCTTCCTCAGCAACGTGCCTTTTCGCGTCACTCAGACCTTCATAGTTCACAATATCTGTACGTGGGCCGCCATCGGCATCCTCTGCATTATGGTGCTCGTGGTCGTTGGCTCTTTTTTCATCAAATGGCCTCACATGCCCGTCGACCCGAGCACCATCGCGGGAGCAATGTATTACGTGTGCGACTCATGGATGCTGGCCCGCTTCGAGGGCTTGAGCGCGATGAAACGCCGCGATAGGGATTGGCATGTTAATGAGACGAATTTGAAATATGAATATGGCGAGATCAGAGGGGCTTCCGGTATTGTGAGGATAGGAGTCGACGCGTCAACATCTGGGGGCACGGTATGGGCATAATGAAATAGAATACTGGTTTATCAGGCATATAGAAATGAATATTTAATGTATATAAGGCACTTACCTAACCTATAT